TTCCCGGGCGGCGGGCTGGCGGCGCGGCGCTCCTGTTGAATCCTCGGCGGCGCGTTTCCCCCTTCCGGGCGCGGGGCGCGTGGGGAGCGCCGGTCCGGGCTGCAGGCGCCCTCGCCCCTCTGTGGGGTCCCCGCGGAGGACCCCGCGCCGCCCCGGCCTCGGCTCTGGACTGGGACGCGGGCTTGCGCGAGTGACATTTTCACCCTCCTGGTCGCCAGCCGCGGGAAATAAAGCGGCTGCGCTCGCCTCTTAGCCGGTGCGGGGGAACCTGAGGACCTGGCTGAGGAGGAGCCCCGCGCCGGCCCCGAGTGACTCCTCCCCAGTCGCTGCCAGCTTCTCGCTTTTCCTTAGCGCCCAGGGGCTGTGAATGCGCCGTGCGACGGGGGAGAGTGCACCTTCCTGCACCGTTATTCCATTGACAGTTTAAAACTTTTCTGTCCGGAGAAGTCTTGTTGTTGGCCGCCGTGGCTCCTTGGAGAGCCTGCTCAGAGCAGCCCGACAGTTACTGCGGGGAATAAATCAACCTAAACACGGCAGCTCGTCTTCACAACTCCCTGCCACTTTGTTCCTTTCGCGGACCGTGTGCGCTTCGGAAGGGCTCCGAAGAGCTGTTAAGTCATTTGGGCTCCTCGCGCGGCATACGTCGTCACCCACCCAAGCAAGGGTTGACCCTTTTTTTATACCAAAAAGTGCTCCTCACACGCGTGCTAGGAAGTGATGGATGGCAGTCTGAGTGGTGACTCTACCTTGTTTATTAAATAGTTTTGGAAGGTCTGTATGTTGCTTTTCATTTGAATGGTGGTTCGGTGGGCTTGAAAGAGTTGGCAAATTCTGTGTATCTTCTAATGTCTTAAAATTCGAGAGTTTTGGGGACGGGAGATGGCTCAGTAGAATAAGTGCTTCCCTGGCAAGCACAAGGGCCTGAGTTCAATCCCCAGTACCGGAAAAAAAAAATAAATTCGAGAGTTTATATTTAATGAGGCGATAATTATTTACATCTTGAATGGCAATAGAATCATTGTTCTCAGCACATCTAGATAAAGTTCCAGTGTCAACCCCATATAGTTAGAAACAGAAAAGTGGGCCTCAAAGGACACATCTTTGCAGCACACATGTCAGATATGAGGCTATTTAGGTACAGTAAACTGAATGTTTGGTGTGCACGAATCAGTTTGGGATACAGTTAATCTCCATCTTACTCTGATAGCAGATAACTCAATTAAAATTAATAGTGGCGAATTTATAAGTCTGAATATTATTTCCTTGAAATAAAATTTGTGTATAATGTAAATGTACAAATATAAATAGGAAAGATACACTTTAATCTTTTTTCATTACTGAGTTAGTAATTTTTGGTTTATTTTCTTAATGATTTAAAAAAGATTCTTCCTTTCATCGGGGTTTTATTTGAAGTATATTTTAAATGAGAAGGTAGTGCTTGTTTTGATTTTTGTTTCTTGCAAAACTTTTTCCTTTTGGTGGCAGTTGATTATCCTTGTGTTAACTTTGCTTTTACAGCAGCTTTTGTTAACTCTTCCTGTCTGACACCTTTTTCCTGTCTGGTAATTATTTTCTCCACTCCATATTTTCCCTAAGAATAAGAGATGTGTGATGACAGTGATTTCTGAGGTTCTGTGGAGTTGGCAGTTGGGTAGAAGTTGACTTTATCAGAAATTTATTAAACCTGAAATAAAGTGATCCTCTGTATTAGGGATTTCGCTGGTAAGGAATATGATAACATATTTCCAAAATTTTATGAGGAAGAGAATATCTTGCTAGACTATGCTCTTCCTGTTTGCTCCCCATACAGACTATCCTTTGGTTCCATCAGTGCCCCCCCCCCATCATGTTTGCTTATAGCTAAGAGCTGATTGGTGTATGAACCCTTGATGACACATAGTTTATAATTTATATTAGAATAAATTGCATTTGTTAATATTAAAGGTGTACAAGGAAACTTAAGGATGCTCTCCAACTTTCTTTTGAGAAATTAGGTTCAAATTATAATTTAATTGATACCCACAGTCATAGTCCTATTTATTCATGGTGGAATTAGGGACAGGCTTTAGATCTCCTGGAAGCTCAGAAACTTCTAGATGGTCTGTGTTGTTTTTTTATTCAAGATTTAGCAGTATTTAAAATCCCTGTGAGACAACACACAGTTTTCTATCCCTTTCTTACCTTTTTATTCATTCAAGGAAGAAGTAAAGCTTCAGGGTATTCCAGAATGTGGTTTTAATAATTTCTGTACTAAGTCCAAATATTTAAGTTGTCTAAGAAGATAACCTCTTGCTGGGCATGGTGGCTCATATCTGAATTCCCAGTATTTGGGAGGCTGAGGCAGGAGGATCACTGTGAGTTTAGGTCAGCCTGGATTGCAAAGCAAGTTCAAGGCCAGTCTGAACTGTATAGTCAAACCCTGTCTCAAAAAGACTGAAAAAAAAAAAAAAAGATAACCTCTTGTATGTCTTTGTTTCCTGGAACTGCTTGCCATTTCATTGTGTAACACTACCTATCATGACATTTATTTATTCTTTGTGAAATCTGTAAGCCACAGTAATTTGAAGTAGTTAGATTTAAGTTTATTGTAATTTTTTTTTTTTTTTTTTTTTTTTTTTTTT